GCATTTAATGCTGTAGACCTGGTGGCCATCCTGCCCTTCTACATCCAGATCCTCTTTGAAAATCTGGATGAAGGAGACACGCTTTACCATGAGGAACTGCACAAGGTGGAGAATGTGAGCAAGCTGGGCAAAGTCCTCAAGCTCATCAAGCTCATGAGGATCTTCCGCATCCTCAAGCTGGCGCGCCACTCCACTGGCCTCCGGGCCTTCGGCTTCACCATACGCCAGTGCTACCAGCAGGTTTGCTGCCTCCTCCTCTTCATCGCCATGGGGGTCTTCACTTTCTCCGCTCTCATGCACTCGGTGGAACATGATGTCCCAGGCACCAACTTCACCAGTATCCCCTACGCATGGTGGTGGGCAGCGGTAAGGTGTGAGCACCTTCTTCCAGAGAGGGGTGCGGTGGGGCTCCTGGGGTAGGGGCTGCCCTGGCACGTGAGGGATTCACCACTGCTGCTGGCCAGGAGGCAGAGAAGGGTCCAGTCTTCCCACCAGCTCAGTAATGATGGGAAATCCAGAGCCCCGCACGCCCTAAGAAATCAGAGATTTGGGCTAAGCTCAGAGGTTCAAAAGCCAGTGCTGAGGTGGGATGGTGGGAACCTCCAGGCCTGGGTGAGTGACAAGGGGAATGTCACTCTGTCACGGACCCAAGTGTTGGGTGGCTGTGGTTCAGAGCCCATGGGCACGGGGACAGCCACCCAGGACAGCCTGAGGCTCGTGCAGCATTGCAGCCTGGCCGGGCTCGGGAGGGGGTCAGGGCTTGTGGGGCTGAGCCAGGGGCCCAGGGCTGCACACAGGGGCCAAGGGAGCACGGTCAGACCGTGCCGCAGCCCGTGTCCCCAGAGAGGACGCAGACGGGTGAGCTGCAGCGGCGACAGGAGCCCTTGTTTGCTGCCCTGCTCATGCTGGGAGCCGGCAGCTCTGCTGAGCCGAGCGCTATAATAAACCTGGGATTACCTCTGAGATGAGGAGCAGCTAAAGCGCTTGGGAGCCAGGGGTTCCGAGGGCATTTTGCTTTATGGATGAAAGGATCCCACAGATCAATTCTGCTCTTATAATCGCCCTTGGCCGCCACAGGCTGCCTGCTTCAGATTCATCCCTCCTGGAGGAAGTGCAAAAATCACTTGGCAAAATCACCAGGTTCAAGTATTTAAACGCCACGGGTTGATCCCGTCCCCGGGCAGCATGGCTCCGTGCCGAGCCCAAACCCCTTGGCCTCAGCGCTCACCCCATCCCGTAGCCCTGCGCCCCTGTCATCCAAACGCGCTTCCTCCGGGTGTGTTCCTGGGCGCTGCCTCTGGGTCCTTGGAGGGAGGGAGAGTCCAGGAAGCTTCATTCCTGTGGGACCGGGCAGCTCATGGCCAGGAAGCACCGGAGCCACCGCTCGGTGGGGCAGGAAGCTCCAGCAGACGGTCTGGCTGCCGGGGAAAGTTCAGCCCGGAGATGTCCAGCTGCTTTGGAAGAGACGCAGGCGCAGGGGGGGCAGGAGGAGGGGGCTTGCCTCTGGTCTCTGCTGTTGGGGCCGCATTCAGCCCAGCCCTTGGGCTCTCCAGGCCTGCTGGGTGCAGCCCAGGGTGCTGAGCCCCGGCCCTGCAGGCTGCTGGAGCGATTCCTGGCTCCCACATGGGCGGAGGGAGGGAGGTCCCAGCGCCGGCAGGCGGGGTCTGCTGGTCCTGTTCATTCAGGATTTTATCCTCTCCCTTCGTCGCCCAGGTCAGCCTCTCCACTGTGGGCTACGGAGACACTGTGCCCGACACGGTGCTGGGCAGGGTGGTGGCCTTCGGCTGCATCTCCTTCGGCATCATCCTCAACGGCATGCCCATCTCCATCCTCTACAACAAGTTTTCTGACTTCTATGCCAAGCTGAAGGCCCACGAGAACGAGACCAGCCACTCGCTCAAGCTCTCCCGGAGGATCCGCTTGAAGGAGCGAGTGCTGCGGAAG